GCAGTTCATCCCGACCAGCTCAGACCGGCTTTTGCATTCAATCTCAGGAAATGGGTGAACGCCTGTCTGCCGGAGTTGCCCGTGCCAAATTGAGATTTTTGTATACCAATGCACAAAGTCTCGTTTCGAAGATCGATGAACTCAAAGCGATAGTATCAGAACGAATTCCCGACGTCATCGCCATAACGGAATCTTGGCTTAATGCCGAAATCGTGGATGCTGAGATTTCGATACCGGGTTACCAGCTCTTTCGTAGAGACCGTCAAAATAGGCAGGGTGGTGGGGTAGTCGTATATGTAAGGGCAGGAATTTCGGCAGTCGAAAGAGTCCACACCCTCTCCCTTGAACAGGAATCCGTCTGGATAAAGATAAAGAAGAGCAATGCACAAAATCTAGAATTCCTGGCGATTTTGCGGACCACCAAACCTTTTGAGTGCAGCTGATGAGTCGCTCCTTTGTTTAGCCAAAGACGTATCTAGCCACCAAGAGGTACTTATTGCTAGGGGTTTCAACGCACCTGCAATAGAGTGGGAAACTATGGCAGTTAACGTTGGGTCCGCTTATTTCAGCAATAAGCTACTGGACCTCACACTCGATCTCCCTCTGGTGCAACATGTGAAGGTACCAACAAGATTTCGAGAGAACCAGAGAGCGAATTGTCTAGACCTAGTTTTCACTAAAGACTTCTCTAATATCGATGAAGTGTATTCCAAGGCACCTCTCGGGAAAAGTGACCACGCTACGCTAATATGGGATTACTCGCTCTTCTCTCAACGCCAGACGAGAACAGGAGGCCAACCTAATATGTGAAAGGCAGATTTTAATCCGATGAAGAACGAATTGCTATCCGTCAATTGGGACCAATTACTCAGGGGAGATCCGGAGGACGACTGGAGATCTTTTAATACGATTTCACTCTATCTGATTCGATGCTGTTGTCCACCTAAAGTAAAAAACAACAACTAGTCGACCTGCTTGGTTAACTAGGGACCTAAATAGGCAGCTACAAAAGAAAAGCAAAAGATGGAAAATGTTCAGGGAAACTGCGTCACCAGCGAATGTCGAAGAATTTCGTCGTTAACGAAATGCAGTCAAAAATGCATCCGTCAGGCACGGAAGGTGTATGAATCCAAAATTATCCGACAGGCTGAACAGAAGCCCAAGATTTTATTTCACCATCTTAACAGTAGACCGAAAAATAAGGACCCGGTCGCGATGCTGAAGGATAGATATCATTGAGAACAGCGAGAAAGCCGAACACCTAGGACATCATTTTGCCTCTGTTTTTAATAGAGAAACAGAGTTTCGCTGTCGCAGTGCCGGCAATGCTGTTGAGACTGCTGATCCCGTGCTTGACTCCATACTCTTCCCGACACAGACATCAAGAAAGCGTTCGACAGCGTCCCACACAAACGCCTAATCTACAAACTTTCTGAAATTGGGATAAGAGGAAGGCTGCTGACATGGATAAAAGACTTTCTTACCGGGAGATCACAAACCATGGGCATGGAGGCCTCGGAATCAACTTCTACCCCCGTTCTAAGTGGTGTACCCCAGTGCTCCGTCTTAGGCCGTTGCTATTCCTGGTTTACATTAACGACTGCGTCGACAACCTGGGATGCAGCGCCATCATGTTTGCTGACGACATTAAGCTGTGGAGACCCATCAGACCTGACGCATACAGGTACGCGCTTCAAGACAGTCTCAACCGCCTAAACAGTTGGTCAGCTCGTTGGCTCCTCAATTTTAATGTGAGCAAATGTGTGGTGTTAAGACTCCGCACCAAAAAGACCAGTAAGGGGACGATTCCTTTCAATACGTCCTTGGTGGTCAGCCCCTTTCAAATGTTGTGGAACAGAAAGACCTGGGCGTCCTAATGGCCCCCTCGATGAAACCATCATCACAGTGTCAAA